TTTAGGAGTTCATAGCCTAAACAGAGGGCTTCTCAGAGCCTTCATGGTCCTTGCTCCGTAATGCAAAAAAGAAAAGAAAAATGCAGGTCATTTGTGGGACACTGCAGTAAAAGGAGAGTTGAGCACTCATGCTAAACTCAATTCCTAAGTGCGGCCAAAGTTCTGCAGCTATGCTGAATATTTGTCCTGAGATCATCATTATAGTAAACAGAGTGTAAAAGCTGAACAGCCAAAGGGCATCATTCCTTTCCTATTCAATAGGCAATTAATCCTTGCCAGTGAATGTGTTCTATCTCTCATAACCATCACTGTTCACTACCCTGGAAATTTTATGTTTACTTTTTTTTTTTTTAAGCATGACAATTATAAATCAGCTACTTCCAAGAGCTGGGGCAAATTAGAGGGAATTCACAGCTTCATGGCTGAATGCAAAAAGGTCTTTGCGGCGTCACCTTCTGAATCATTATTTCAGAGCTGGACTATGCAGACAGCAGGTCATGTGGCACCACTGTTTCTGTATTATACATCAGACAGTAGGGGGAGTCATGTATTCAAAGCCCATCTCCCCCTCCTCAGTCCTTGCAAAGGGTAAATTAGGTGGGTTGTTTAGATATGCATAGGGAAATGGTTTGGAGGCTGAAATGACACAGTTCACAGACCAGTTTTTACCGTGTGCAAACTGAAGTCATATGACCTGCTGTGTATATAGACTAGCTCCGAGAATTTCGAACCGGTGAGAATATTATGGGAATGCATTAGCTGGCACATGTTATATCCCTCCCACACCATAAGCCTTTTGCACAAATGAGATCAGATGCAATTATCAACACAACATCGCTGAGTGTTCAGTATTTCTCAGGTGAAAACAAGGTAATTTGTACTTGTTTATCTAAAAGCTGCTCCTCGTGATAGGGAAATATTTGGTAATGACAAGATGCTTGACAACTGAAGTGCCCTGCTAAAAGATTTGAATCATTTGGTTGCATCCAACACTGTTCCTACTCAGAATACTTCCACTGACATTAATAGACATGAATAACTTAGGTCCATTACTTTCAGTGGGTTTGCACTGAGTAAAACTTAGCTATAACTTATTATCTTCAAAACATGCATCTACTACCTCCTAGAAAGATTTCATGTTTAGCTTCATAAAGATGTAGATGTTTGCTTTTATCACACTCGGTTATGGCTGTGATCCAAAGGCCTACCAGAGATAGTGAGAAATAGCAGGGCTTCTGATCCACCATTTCAATAGCAGCCAAGGAAGGTCATTTGGACCTCTGATGGGCTCAGCTGCTAACTGCCCTTAATCCTCCAGACTGGACTTGTAAGCTTCCAGATCAATTTGTCTTGGACTTCTCATCCTGGTATTCACCAGTCATGGCCAAACTTGGCCCTCCAGCTGTTTTGGGACTACAATTCCCATCATCCTTGACCACTGGTCCTGTTAGCTAGGGATGATGGGAGTTGTAGTCCAAAAACAGCTGGAGGGCCAGGTTTGGTCATCACTGATTGGTCCTTCGGTCTTCACAGATACATTGACCCCTATCCCTGTAGGCAGTTCTTGCAGCTAGTTTCCAACTCTGTGGTCTCTTGCCTAAGCTGAAAGCTAGGCAACCCCTGTTACTATTTAATCAAGCTTGAAATAAAAAGCATACTTGTGATACGAGATGAAAGAGAAATGTGATTCAGTTTGAAATAAAGGTGAACCTACCTAATCCATGCTTTCTGAAATATTAGCAATTCAAATCGGTGATCCTTTGAAATTCACGCTCCTCTGATTTTTTTCCAACGCAGTTCACCTATACAGAAAAGGCAAATTTTGCATATAAATGCACATATTAATGAAAATAATATTTTAAATGCATTATATAAGGGGAAATTAAGCAAAAATGCATTAAATGGGCACATTTAGCAGCTGTTAAATAGATAAATAAATAAATAAATAAATAATAAATTCTAACTAATGTGGAAACATGGAGAACTGAATTTAGAATAGGAAAAAAATGAGAAACCAAAATGGACATATTCAGCCATTCCCTATCTGTAATCCATTATTTGGAAACCCTGGTAATGGGAACCCCAGATAGAATCACCTGGCTATTTGTCTCTCAGAGGTTCCAAACTTGGGCAGTAGTAACCTGCAAGTCTCAGGTTTTTGCTTTTCTGTTATTATTAATATTAATAAATTGCTCCCTGTGGGTCATCTCAAAATCATTCCACAATAAAACAGATATGAAATAACTGCAAAAAATAAAAACAGGGTGTTTTTTTTAAAAAAAAATACACATATAAAGCCAAGGCCAACTAAAACTCGGAGTTTTAATTGGTTTTCAATGACACCGTGTCTGTGTTAACCTTCGGTCCATTTCAGAATCTCTTGAGTTGTGCAGAAAATGAGAACTTGCCAGAAAAGAGTGAAATGCAGAAGTATTCTCGGTTGCTCTTCTTGACTAAAATAATCGGAAGATTCTGGAGAGAGAGAACTGGTCATGACAACTGAAACCTGCACAGAGCTCCTCCAACAATAAGGCACACTGATCAGTTTAATATGGCAAAACCTCTCTTTTATATGTCAAGGAGGAAGAAAACAGACACAGATAACTAGACACAAATGCATAAGAAATCGTTCCCGTGGCAATGCAAAGGTTAGGCCACACACCACTTCGTTCTCTTTTGAAAGTACAATTAGAGAAATAAATTAAGAATACAGCAACCCACATCTGACTACGATTTGACTCACAAATTATTACCTTTGCTGACTTGTCATTATACTTGGAGAAATGTCAGGTGAAGAGGCCAAATGGGCCTAATGCTGTTTTCAGTTCAGGGTTTAAAAGCAACATAAAATGTCAAAGTATGATGGGAAAATCCTGGGCTTTTTGCTACAAGTCCCTTGGTTTGAGGCTTAGTGGTATCAAGATATGCCAAGCACAAAAGGTCTTCACATATTTAGGCAGTGCTTCATCCATTCGAACTTGTGGTTACATAAATAATTTTTCTTATTATGCTTCTGTTTATCCTCAGTTTCTCTAATTTTCTCCAGAAACTTCAGTCCCTCTTCTTTCTCCTCCTCTATTTTAATGTGAATTGTCATCTTCTTGGGGCAGAGAATTCTCTTTTTTGACTTAAGGCATTGTGTAAAATGCCATGTAAGAAAAAGAAAATGACAACAAATATTTCACCCTAAGCAGAAATAACTTGTGTTTGCATTTACGGCAAGAAATGTCCAGCCATCACTCATACAGGTGTATGAATAAGAATAAATACATAAATAACCATGGATTATAGTGGGCAAAGAAATGCCTGTACAATATATTTATATAACAATTTGTCACATGATTCAGCACAACAATTAGGGAGGGTGTACAGTGGTACCTTGGGTTACAGACGCTTTAGGTTACAGACGCTTCAGGTTACAGACTCCACTAACTCAGAATTAGCACCTCTGGTTAAGAACTTTGCTTCAGGGTGAGAACAGAAATCGTGCTCCGGTGGTGCAGCAGCAGCAGCGGGAGGCCCCATTAGCTAAAGTGGTGCTTCAGGTTAAGAACAGTTTCAGGTTAAGAATGGACCTCCAGAATGAATTAAGTTCTTAACCTGAGGTACCACTGTAATATATTTATTTTTGAGTCATATCACATTTGTAGGTGTATACCCAAGCTGTTTTAAAAGGTACATCTTAAAAAAGTGTGAGTGTCACACACAAACTTGCAATCACAGACCCTCCAAGTGCCCCTATTTCCCTGGGACACCCCTGATTTAGAGAACACATCCTGGTTCCTGATTTGATCCTGGAATGTCCCACTTTTCCTTAGGATATCCCTATTTTCATTAGAGAAATGTTGGAGGGTATGGAGTTATCCGACCCCCGAGCCGTCTGAAGGTAATCCTATATAGAGGAGTTGTTTAATGTTTAATGTTGGAAGCTGCCCAGAGTGGCTGGGGCAACCCAGTAAGGTGTGTGGGGTATAAATAGTAAAATTATCATTATGGAATGGGTCGTCCCTATTTTCAATGTTAGAGGGTATGCAATCGCTTTGATTGAACAAGTAATTATTTGTGGTTGACTGCAGTTTCCTGTTGTCAGCGCACTCGTTTGGCAGACCTGGGCTTCTGTTTAATGTGTGAAATTGTGCTTCAACTGGGTGCTGCATTGCTTCAACACGGAGAGAAGGAACACACAAAGAGAAAACCTTTGCAAAGCCCTCCCTCTCACTCACTCAATTCCCAATGGTCAGTGGCGTAGAGATTTTCCACTGTCCGACCTTGTCTAAGTCCCAATCTCTTTATTTATTTTGCATTCATCACAGCAGACAAGTCTTGGAAAGCTCTTATGATATGATCATTTTTCATTGTTTGCAATAATAAACGGCAAATATTAATCTGGTCATAAGATAAATATTTTTGAAGGGTCTCAGCTGAGCTGCTAACAGGACCTCCACGTGTAATGAAAATGTTCTTGAACAGCGCCATGTGTTTGGTTTTAACTGCCTTGTCTGCTCGACCCGAAACCTGGGACATTTTGTGTAAGTGGCCCCCTCCCCGTTTTTCCTGATGACAATCATCAGATGCAACCAAGGCCGCTAGGGAGGGACATGTGCTAACCTTCTCTAAACACAGGGAGTTTGATTCCATATTACATTTGTTTAACCTCTGGCATTCAGTGACACGCTCGTTTGGCTGAGCAAAGCATGGAATCTTCAAAGATAGCTTTATGACCTGGATCTTCTGCTCACGTGAATTGGCCCTTCTTTGGGCTAACAGTGACCTTCATGTGGCATGTCTGTATGTAGGAGTGGATGATTTGTGCAAATTTTCCCAGCTGTGCTGCATTTGATATTGTCAAATGGTAATTATGGTAATTTATGGACTTAATAGGTATCTAAAGCCATTTGCACATAACAAAATATGTATTTTACCAGTGATATTTTAGGGAGCAGGCTACCAGGCGCCCATTACTTACATCACAGTGTTGGCAGTTGCCACCTCGACACTGTTCACAAATAGAAAAGTTTGTCGGCGAGTGCCAGGCTTGGCTCTCTGTGGATGCTCTGGCCCACCAAGAAAGTCAGCTTGTTGGCATACTGGCATGGTGCTGGCACTCTGATTAGGCCAGGCCAGTTGCAGTAGGTGGCCATTTATTATGTAAGATGCCTGGGCCAGGCTCAGAGCGGCTTACAAGCAATAATAAAAACAAGTTAAATGATTACAACTTAAAAACAAAATTAAAAATACAACATTAAAATACTGAAACATTAAAATATTAAAATGTAGCCTCATCGCAGGAGGAGAAGGAAAAGAAAAAAGAAAGAGAGGGAGGGAATCAAATTGGCTCCAAGCCAAAGGCCAGGCGGAACAACTCTGTCTTACAGACCCTGCAGAAAGAAATCAGATCCTGCAGGGCCCTGGTCTCATGAGGCAGAGTGTTCCACCAGGTGGGAGCCAGAGTTGAAAAGGCCCTGGCTCTGGTTGAAGCCAATCTAACTTCCTTAGGGCCCGGGACCACTAGGGTGTTGCTATTTATGGACCTTGAGACTCTCCGTGGGGCATACCGGGAGAGGCGGTCCCGTAGGTACGAGGGTCCTAGGCCATGAAGGGCTTTAAAGGTCAAAAGCAGCATGTTAAATCTGATCCTGTACTCCACCGGGAGCCAGTGCAGCTTGAAAAGCACTGGGTGAATATGCTCCCATGGCAGAGACCCCGTGAGGAGCCTTGCTGCAGCATTCTGCACCCACTGGAGTTTCTGGGACAGCTTCAAGGGCAGCCCGGCGTAGAGCGAATTACAGTAGTCAAGCCTGGAGATGACCGTCGCATGGATCACTGTGGCACATCTTATAGGTAAGATGCTGTATATGGTCTGGCTTGAATCCATTATCATCATAAACCATGTTGTAGTATGTGGGATTGACAGTGCCCTGGTGAGCAAGTTGGCTACTTAAGAAGAAGTCGTACCATTCAGGTCGAGTAGCCTCCGTGTCAATAACTGTCCCAACGAGAGGGTTTTGCAAACTTCTGTTGAGAAACGATGAAGGCATTTCTTCCTGACCACAACCACCGATAGTTTGGCTCTTCTGCAGCCACCATTGCACTCATCGGGGGCACTTAATATCTGTGGGACTTCAAAGTTCACCACCATCTTCATGTGTCCATCTCCAATGCTGTCACGGTACACTATTAGGCGTGCAGGCAGCTGCCCATTACATGCTTGCAATTTACTTACAGCATCTTTCATGCAGACCTTTAAACAAACTGTGATGTTTGGTCCTGAATTTTGCAGCGTGCAACGAGAATACCACCTAGTCAGTTGGAAATTACAGCTGGCCAGAAACCCAATAACCGAGAGTCCTTTGGTCAAAGCATCTTTGTTGACATCAATGCGAACCACCATGACAGATTTCAGTGGTATCTCAACTGCCCACAGTGCCCCTCCAAGCTTAAAGTATTAAAGCCTGGCGCCTGCTTCCCAAAACTTCTGCCCGCCTTATGGAGGGGGCACGATGCTCCGACAGGGTCCAAGACCCCTCCTTCCCAAAGCCCACCTGGCTTTGGGAAGGAGGAAGCAGGCCTGGTGCTTCTTCCCCAAAGCCTGGGAAGCTTCTGCCCAGCTTAGGCAATGGAGAAGAAATCAAGGTAAAGGGAAATGATAGATGTGCAACACTGAACACTCTTGCAGTGAAAAGAGCAACTCAGACTGCAAAACAAATGAGCAAATACAAATTATTATCAAACAGCTCCTTCCAGAATTTATATGAAACACAGATGCATTCAGCATTTCCTCTGGGTATATCCACTCCCGTGTTAAGCACTGGGCTTAATCCAACCTGCCTCCCCTTTGTACCTGTTGCAATCAAACCACAAAGTAGCAGGAAAAGCCTATTAGACAGCTTCAAACAGCAGTCAGGGAGGACTTATCAGCTTCTGTGTAATGATAGTCTGGCAGTATCGTATTCCAAACTTCTCAATGAACCATGACACCAAAACATAAACAAGGTCGAACAATCGGTTTTAAGCTCTTTGCGCAGTCATGCAGCAATGCATCCTTGCCTGAAATGGCTGGTATCCATATTCTAGCTCAGGGATTGCCAACACAGTGCTCATGGGCACCAGGTTGGTGGCTCCTGTATATTTTGTGGAGAGGTGAAAGAATATGATTTTTTTTAAAAAAACACCACAGCAACTGCACAAACTTCCTTCACCTAGAAGCTGCCCAGAGTGACTAGGGAAACCCAGCCAGATGAGAGGTGTATAAATTGTTGTTATTGTTGTTGTTGTTGAATAGGATGTCCCTTCAAACGCATCCATTCTTAAGGAAATCAGCCCTGAATGCTCACTGGAAGGACAGATCGTGAAGCTGAGGCTCCAGTACTTTGGCCACCTCATGAGAAGAGAAGACTCCCTGGAGAAGACACTGATGCTGGGAAAGATGGAGGGCACAAGGAGAAGGGGGAGACAGAGGACGAGATGGCTAGATAGTGTTTTCGAGGTTACCAGCATGAGTTTGACCAAACTGCGGGAGGTAGTGGAGGACAGAGGTGCCTGGCGTGCTCTGGTCCATGGGGTCACGAAGAGTCGGACACGACTAAACGACTAAACAACAACAACATTTTCATCGGAGAAATGTGGGAGGGTGTGCCATCTTGATTTGAATCAAGTGTGCAGGAGCTTTCCCCAATTCCCCAATCAACATGCATTGGCAATGGTTACATGTAACCCCAAGCAGGAGGTTCCCTTGTTGTTTCAAACACAAGGTAACAGGGGGCAGTAGACAGGCATATGCTACCCTGCAGCCTGATTCTTAATATGCAGTTAACTTTACATCTGCACAGGCCACAATCTCCCTGGAAGCAATGTAGGAAGTTTCTTCTTCCCTCGAGGCAGAACATTTTGCTAAGAGGAACCACCGAGTTAAAGCTACGGCTGTCAGGAGGCATGGCCACAATATTTTCCATCTTCCTCATCTGTAAGCAACTGTCCTTAAAACAAAAAAGGAAACAAACAGATTTATAGAGGACTAATAAAAACGATTGCATTATGCATTCTCTCACTCCATCTTGAATCAGCAGTTCCAGAAGGTCCTCTGGGAGGAGAGTAAATAACAGCATACTCACAATGTTCCTTTTTCTCTCTCCCTGAGCTTGGCAAAACCAATGCATATAAACACAAATTAGAAGGGAAATAGAAAACAAATCTAATGCATGGTAGCCAGGCAAACTCTGGTGTGGAATGATAGCCTGAAGTGTGACAGCAACAGATGCACATTTAGACATCTGTGGTGAGGATCATCTGCATACTTATCACCCTGTTATGTGCTTGTGCAAATGTACAAACACAGAGAACATGATACAAACTCTACTAAACACATCTACTTGAAATGCATTATTTTTCTGGTTGTTTTTGGTGCAGTGTGTGCCTTTGCTGATGAGACTGAATTAAGTATCTCATGATACATAGCGCATGTGAACACGGAAGAAAAATGCACCCACTTTAAGCATGTGAATCAATGTGAAGAGGGTGAATAATCTGCTTCAACAACAATTAGACTTGGAATCAACAGGTACCTCTCAGCAATATGTTGTTCAGTGTCTCCCAAGATATTATAATTCAGACCTGCACACCTTGTGGCATACCAAACTGACCAAACAGGTTCCTAGAGTCCTCCCACCTCCTTCCCAAAGCCTAATTAGTTCTTTCCCAGCTTTGGGAAGGAAATGGGATATAGACCCTGTCAACAGGTGACTGTAATCTGTTGAGAACTACCTGGACAAGAGCTTTCCCCACAGTACTCAGAAGGGAAATTCCATGGAAGTTGTTACAGTCAGATCTTTAGATATCTAAAGAGCATTATCATTTCCCACACTTCCTTCCCTTTTGCAGGCCAAATAGGCTCAACACTTTAAACTGTCCCTGATTGCAGATGGGTGAATCTGTCAGTTCTGCTTCCCCCCAGCTTCTTATTTTTCCAGACTTAAGTTCAGTCTTCTACATTTCCACAAGAATTTGAGATTTCCTTTTTTAAAGCCCTCATTAAAAACCACCAGCATCTTAATGCAAATTTCTCCTGATATACACATTTGTATGCCATTTTGTATAATATAGACTCCACCCCCCCAAAGCTGTTTTATTGAAAATAATGCACCTTGTATGTTATTTTCACTAGTATTGACATTTTTAATTGATATTTTACTCCGGAATATGCATATTTTTTTTTACACATCACTTGACTTTAGAACTCTACTGCAAAATTCAGAAAAGTGTGAATTTCAATGGATGCCTGTGTTTCAGTTCTTGCACTGTTTAAAAACGTTTGAATTAGTTCAGTTCACCTTTAGGTGTGAACTGAATTGAATTTCTCCTCTCTCCATATTACTTATCAAAGTAAACCATAACGGACAGTGTGCTGCCTTTGGATTCTCTGAAAATCCAAGACATAGACATCTTAAGATACCACAATTATGATCCTGGAAAACACCTACATAACTGTGACCTCAACAAACAACAACTACTTATTTATAATCCAAGACACAACAAGCCTGCAGTTAAATACCATCCTTCTCGTTGTTAAGATGCTCAGAGCACTATTAAATTGAGATGCTAGCTAGAGGCTTGCATTAGTGTTTAGATTAGAAGGGGGGAATAATAAGCGTCAGGATAATTACTGCCTATAATAATAGAAGTGGAACCTGAATCTTAATCGCTATGGCATGACTTCACTGACAAAGCATCCACACAAGCCCACAATCAGCAAAATAAAGACATTAATTAGTTATTGGCCCACTACAGTTAATCTTGTGGTTCTTTTGAAAAATGATTGGATTTTAAAATTCCAGGAGTGTCTTGGCTGATGCAAGTCAGCAATGCTTCAGTGAGAGCCTTTTGTTTTATATTTACCAAAGATCTTGGCTCTGTTTAATTAAGAAGAACAAAGAAGTGAGAAGAGAATCATACTGGGATTCAAGATGCCATCTGTTTGTAAAATAGCTGAGAGTAGAGTTGTTTTCCCAGTTAAGAACTGCAATTGTGAACTGGCAAATATATATATAGAGAGAGAGAGAGAGAGAGAGAGAGTTCTACTCATTCAATGCATTCTGTTTAAACCTGGTTTATGCACACTATAAATTAATTCATGTGGTTTTAAACTGATCAGAAGGATGGCATCCACTGTTAACCACTATTACGGAATCTACAGTAAAGTGAAACAAATATTATTGTGGTGGTGAAGTTTTACAACTGGGATATTTGTCAATGGAAGGAAATGCTAAAAAATGAAAATCTGATAGATTTTACCATCGTCCCTATCTGCCTGTGGACTGTCTTGCCAGAGGGGTGCATGCTCTGGTTATCTCCCACTTGGACTACCGCAATGCGCTCTATGTGGGGCTACCTTTGAAGGTGAACCGGAAACTACAACTAATCCAGAATGCGGCAGCTAGACTGCTGACTGGGAGCGGCCGCTGAGACCACATAACACCGGTCTTGAAAGACCTACACTGGCTCCCAGTACATTTCCGAGCACAATTCAAAGTGTTGGTGCTGACCTTTAAAGGTCTAAACGGCCTCCATCGTTCTGCCCGGACACTGAGGTTCAGCGCCAAGGGCCTTCTGGTGGTTCCCTCAATGCGAGAAGCCAAGTTACAGGGAACCAGGTAGAGGGCCTTCTCGGTAGTGGCACCTGCCCTGTGGGATGCCCTCCCACCAGATGTCAAAGAGAAAAACAACTACCAGACTTTTAGAAGACATCTGAAGGCAGCCCTGTTTAGGGAAGCTTTCAATGTTTAACAGACTATTTTATTTTAATATTCTGTTGGAAGCAGCCCAGAGTGGCTGGGGAAACCCAGCCAGATGGGTGGGGTATAAATAATAAATTATTATTATTATTATTATTATTATTAGGAGGTATGCCAATCAGACTAGGAAGCGAATAAGCAGTCAAAAGGGTGAGTGGGAATAGACTGTCAGAAGGCCAAAAATACCTGTTATATCAGATAATCTGAATTATTATTATTATTAATCAATCACCTTCTACACAATCATCTCAAAGCAATGTATAATAAAATATGATACATGTTAGATATGTTTATAACGAAATTAATACAAATACATAATAAATATTCATGGAAATACAAAATAAGCACCTATTTGTCCTGCTGGGAAAGCCTATCAGAACAAAACTTGTCTTCAGTTGTTTTTTGAAATTGCAGCTAATGGGTGCCTGTTGTGTATTAGCAGGAATGCTGTTCCACAGAACAGGGGCAACCACATGAAAAGCCCTGCTCCCAGTGACTGCAGAGTGGGTTTCTCAGATCAGCTGTGGCCATAAATCCCTCATTGTGCATCAGCGCCAAACTAAACTGGATAGCTGAGGTTTGTATGGTCTTAGGCCTAAGCAACGCATTCACTGCACAATCAGAAACTTTATTGGACTAAGGGAGCAAT